AATTAAACGAAGGTCTATTGTCGGCGAGGAATTTTTCCTTCATAAACACCGAATATCATCTCATCTAAGAGTTGGCTTTATACGGATATACTTATACGATATGGAGTAATTATGAGTGGTTTCTCTTCTCTTCCTTGATGTCCATGAGAGGTTTAACGGTGTTCGCAAGCAGGACGATAGACGGAATGAATGATCGTAAAAGCACAAAGAACTTGCAACACGAAACAAGATGAACAAGTATTTAGCAGCCGCTGTAGTGTTCTTCTGCGTGACCAGACGGTTGCTAATTCGATCATTCGCTAAAAGCGTATCTAAGTCGGGTATGTCACAGCTCTGATGCAGATTTTGCCTTTGTTCTTTGCTTTCGCGCAGATATCGAAATGTCACGCAGGTGATACCAGAGTTTCTACTGACAAGCAAGATTAATTTTAGCCTCAAATTTTTGGATGGGTTTGCTTGAAAGGAGGTGAAATGTCCGTATCAGACCAAGGGTATTCCAGGAATAATGACCCTATAAAGGTAATTTTTTCGCCTTTTTGCCGATTCGTTTTCATATTTTGTCTAGAATGCGAATCCTGGCGAGCAGCTTTGCGACGGCAACGTCGGCTGTGACTTTGACGAAAGGTTGCAGCCTGAGAAAGTACATGCTCTTCCTCAGATGATGACGCGAAGTATCGATCGACAGCAGCCATTAGACGATGAAGTATGTTATATCTAGCCTTCGATTTGTCGAAGCGCTACTGTTGTCTGAGATCTTAAAGTTGTGCCGAGTACCAGGCAGAGTAGTATAGAATAACCACACCTATTGTCACTACGATAGTTGCTAAATTTTATTAAAAACCCAAAACGATCATCCTCTTAGACTGATAGCCAGCAGAGAGCTGACCTCCTTCAGCCGTGACGCAAATGTGTTTAAGCGAAAAATATGAATAAATACTCGTACGGAAGAGGAAGTCCACCATGTATATTTTTAATAGGATAATAGGTTTGTTAATGATATAATTAGTTATTTTTCGAAATTTCAACCCTCTCTGGCGGAATGACTGACATTTGCGAAAAAGGATGACACATGAACCGAATCAGCAGTCGTTCAAGATTAATGGCAACCAAAACAATTATTCATGTCGGATTCAGTTTCAGTCATGTTTATTTAAATGTCCCAGAAAGAATATGATCATAATTCAGCTTCCTCAGTGACAAAACGACCGTGAGGAACAAGACTGGTAAAGGGATGTAATCTCATGTTTTTCACTTAGTTCCGTTTGTGTGAAAACTTTCTATATGTCTTAGTGATTCACTTGTTGATAGCTTTGCTTGAATGTAATTCCCAGTCTCTAAATTAAACAGGTCTACGTGCAATACTAAAAAAAAGTACTAAATAAAAGCGGCATTTCATCATGATGACATGAAAGCAACAAGCGAAATGTCAAAGCGATCACAGCCCTGAGCTGCTTGATAAAACTGGTGCAAGGAAGAATACCTCTCAAACGAACGAAAAACACGATGCCTGACGTGCCTGACTGGAGTTAGTAGTCTTTAAATTTTACAACATAATATGCTATTTAGTAAGCGTAAATAGCTCTTTCCAAAAATCATTTGTTTGTCGCGAAGAACTGGCAACGATCAGGGTAATGGTCAAAGTAAAGGCGTTTGAATACCGGAACAAAGGAGATTTAGAATGATTTCCTTAGCAATGAAAACTTTTGATGAATCTTCAAGGCGCTGGTTATCAGGACAGTGATAGACAGGGATTGAAATATGTTTGTGCATTTAAGGAAACTCCTGGAAGAAGGCTCTGATCATGAATCCACATGAAAGATTTGAGATTATCGCGTGAATTTATCCCCAAAGGTCTGTCATCACGCTATCTTCCCTTTGTGTGCAAGGTGATATTTACTGGTAACACGAACAGTAGCTCCCGAAAACGCTTGACTGATTCTATCAGAAAATGGGGGGAAACATGGTCATTTTCATCATTTGTCAGGTCACAACGTTAAAAATTGGATGAAAAACGATGCTACCCAGATTTGTATGTCTGTTGTTCCTTGATGATGACATTTGACATTTGAAAATGCAGAATACGTTTTTGGCTATGAGCCCGGGCTTATTCGTGAACACAGTGCCTGAATCGTATGGCTTATTTCGTGAAGGTATACGTAATATTCGATTTTATGTTGTCGTTCAGTTACCTATTGTGAGTCCGTAACTCGAATTTCTCCAAAATAAAGATAAGAAACTGGTAAAATTGGTCGGCGATGTGAAGCCTCCCAGACTCTGGGAGATTTTCAAACAATGGCATTAGTATTTAGCTTGCAGATATCATTATCTTAAATTTGCATGGCAAATAGATAGGGTAAAGTAAGTAAATTAGGCTTACAGATGCTCTGCGGTACTCCGCATGAACCGCGGATCATGTGACCCGGATCGCTTCCAGGCTGCCTGACAGAATGTTTGCATGCGTTTAGTAAATGAAAGTAGACGGTGTCTCATTTTGCATATGCCAGTAACTATAATGACGTTCTCATAGGCCTGATCATTAAAAAAAATTTTGCTTTAAGGACCGATGCTGAATTAAGGCAAGCGTATGTTTAACAAAATATGTTCCATAACTGTTGCATGATCTGACTTATTTTAGCGCGACTGGAATTTTCCAACTGTTAGTAATACGGCCTTTTGGACGACACTGAACTATTTGAATGCTAGTTTTGGGGAAGACGACGACGATAGGGATTACATTCCTCAAGACGATCAGGTGAGCCATATTTTCCATATTATTTTTGCATGTATCAGAATCTGCTAAATGCCTGCGTAATCTTTGATGTCTAATCTTTGTCTTTGGTTAAATCATAATTCGTTTTTGTTTTGCCTAAAATATTACGAGACATATTAGATGGAATCACTTGAAGGTATATATGTTATAAGGAAGTTATAATTAAAAGGAAGCTGATCCTCAGGTCTTCCGCCACTCGCGTGTGATGCACCAGTGTTCTCAAAGGGGCGGATGATTGAGTTCATATATTTCTTTTTTCGCTGCTGAGCAGAACAAAGCGACTCCAATTGATGCTTAGTGAAACATATTTTGACAGCTTTTCGGGCAGCAGATGATCAGGGTCATATAGAACGTAGCAAGCTGATTTCGGAAAGCGCCGTCATGTCTGAAGGTTTCTAAATGATTTTCACTGAAATTTTTACGATTCGGGCATTACCTGACTTTCACTCTCACAAGTGGCAAACATTGCGGTGAAGTTCTTTAATTACTCTGAGGATAATAACTCGCACAGCTGTTTGAGTTCATTAAAACTGTTTCAAAATTGGTAGATCTTTAATCTTGACCTTGCAGTTCTTGACCCAGACATTGCCATAAAGTTTTAGAGTTATCAACGGTGATTCAGTACTTTTGGTAAGCTTTCAAATTGAGATTCATTTTTTCTTGGACTCGCTTTGCCAGTTTCTTGTGATGAAAGACTTGTATTCACCTTGCTTGTGTGAAAGTAAAGATAGGAGCAAATCTGTCCACCATAAAGAAGTCTACTGCCACATTGTCTAACAGGATGATTAGCCTTGATATTAGACTTTTTTGTCAAAATATCAGCTTATTTATATCCAACTTTCCATCAGCTTTCATCCTCCTCATGTCGAATTAGTGTATTCTGATCTGCACTGTAATAAAACGCCGCTGTTTAGTTTATTGACAGCCTAGCTTAAATAATGAATAAATTTTTAATGTCAGGCGCTGCAGACGGATAAATGGATTTATCGCTCTAGAGCCTTTCATAATACATTGACACGCGCACATAATCTT